TAGGAGAAGATCCAGAGGTTCGCGGCTTCTTTCACGCGAGCGCTTTCAACTCGTTTGGCATCAGTCTCTCGGGTGGTATCGGCTATCAAATGGCCAAATGGCTCACAACAGGCGCACCAGAGATCGACTTATCAGCCTATGATATAAAGAGATTCAATAGACATTTGGTTCACAATAGAGTTTGGTGTCAAGAGAGGTGTCGGGAGGCGTACGCCAGAAACTATGGCATTATCTATCAGTGCGATGAACCCCTCACAGGTATTCACAATCAATATTTATGTAATTCATGTTTATTTAATAAACTTAAAAATAAATGTGTAATTAAAAGCCCGAAACGAGACGTTTAGCGACGCGTTATATGACATACTGAAAAGCAAAGGCTGTGTATATCGAGAAAGACATGGCATTCAGTGTCCGGATTGGTTTGATTTGACGCCACAACGACTCACAACTGAAGAGTACATTGATTTGGACAACACATACGACTGGTCCGAAGACAGCCGGCAATGGATGGCCGTTAAACATGAGTGCGAGTCCTCTCATGAAAGAGCGATTGTTGTGAATCTCTCCTCAATGGCTAAGTATTTGGTTCGCGGAGAGAATGCTATGAAAGTAATCGATAGTTTGAGTCCAACTGATGTCAAATCAATGCCCAATAATTCAACAATACTTACATATCTGCTCAATAAGAGGGGCGGTATTATCGCCGAAATTATCGTTACAAAAATAAATGACTCCGAGTTCTACATAACGTGTGCCGAAGTGTCCACTAATCATGTTTTCGTCAATTTATGTGATGTAATAAACGATGAAAACATAGGAAATATAGAAATTGTCGATTTGTCTAAAGATATCGGAATTCTATCACTAAATGGACCAAAAAGTACGGAAATATTAGAAACAAGTTTTGATATATCATTGAATGATTTCCGCGAAGGAAGTCATCGGAAAATCAAAATAAATGTAAGCATTGAATGAGTTTTATAATAATTTATGTTAAAAAAACTAAAACATAATCGTTTAAAAGGATATTGAGATGCGTTTAATAAGATTTACACAACTGTCTCACACCGGATGGCAAATGCATGTGAATAACAATCAGGACTTGAAAGTAATTTACGCCAAACTTATCGACAATAAGTTGGTCTCAA